ATACACCCTCCCTACACACATTCTCTGTCTTTTTCTCTCTCTCTCTCTCTCTACACTCTCTCTCTGTCTACACTCTCTCTCTCTACACTCTCTACATCCTCTCCCTCTCTCTCTACACCACCACCCCCCCCCCTTCTCTGTTTCTCTCTTTGACACACACGCAGAGACTGACCGACAGACGAACACCTGGAACATTACACTGTTGATGTCGTGGCCAGTGATTGAATGGAGTCAGGTCTTTTCCTACCAAGAGGGGTTTTGTCATTCTTTTATGAGATGTGCCAACAACGTCGATGTCTATTGCCCAGTACTAATTGCCTTTGATTTGAGTGGCTTGCAAGGCTGTGTTCTTCCAGAAATTTCTGCAGATGTTTTTAAATTTCTCGACTTTGTTTCAAAATTCCCTCCAGGATCTTACTTTCGTGTTTTTCTTCTTCTGTGCCTAACCTGGCAGAAAAGCCTAGGTATCTCAAGGCACCATTCTGGCACAATGGATTTGCTGGCACTCGGATATTTCATTCCAATTTTAAGGGTTTGAGGAGTTTGTGGCAGTATTACACAGATGCAGAATTACACACGTGTAAGAGCAGGTAGCTCCTGTAAAACAAGCCAAGTGTGAATCTTTATTCATTCACGGGATGAGGGCGTCGCTGGCTAGGCAGCATTTATTGCCCATCCCTAATTGCCCAGAGGGCAGTTATGACTCAACCACATTGCTCTGGGTCTGGAGTCACATGTAGGCCAGACTGGGTAAGGATGGCAGATTTCCTTACCTGAAGGGCATTAGTGAACCTGAGATAACAAGGTGTAGAGCTGGATGAACACAGCAGGCCAGGCAGCATCAGAGGAGCAGGAAAGCTGACGTTTCGGGTCTGGACCCTTCTCCCTCGTTTAGTGAACCTGATGGGTTTTTCCAACAATTGACAATGGATTCATGGTCATCATTAGACTCTTAATTCCAGATCATTTTTATTGAATTCAAATTCCACCATCTGCCCTGGCAGGATTCGAACCTGGGTGTCTGGATTAACAATCCAGCGATAATATCACTAGGCCGTCACCTCCCTTTGTATCCCAAGATGCATCCCGTTATTTTCCTTTGGTGACGTTTATAGAAAATATAATGGGACCCACTAAAAGATGGGTCACAGCAGCACCCCCCCACACATCTCTGTAACCTCTACTCATGTAGTTGAGACCTTAGTGCTCCCTTGTTTCCAGTCTATTGCCCTGCCCTTATTTTCATCACCTGTCTTGGCCTTAACCTCTGGAATCACTACCTCAGAGGTTTCCACCTCCTTTAGGCCTCAGCTTTTGATCAGCACAGCAGAGAGCAGGCTTGACTGACAGGTGTCTGCACTGTTTCCCTTTGTGTGTTTGTACAGGCCCGAGGCAGCCCACAGGTGATCAAGGGCAGAGCCAGACCAGAAGGCGGTCTTTACGTCTCGCCTCTGGGGACAGCAACTCCTCGTCGATGGGTGGCCAGTCCGAGGGAGCAGAGACACGGAGCAAGACCAAGGAGCAGGAGAAGGTTGAGCAAGGTGAATTCCTCATCATTTTCTTACTGTGAAGACATTTTTTAATCCCTTCCTGTGCGTAAAGGCGAGGAAGAAACTCAAATGATCGTCTCTCCTGCCATTCTTGGTTTTGCTGAAGTCTTGACCTGTATGGTGGTAGGGAAGGAAGATCCCAACTCGATCCCCTCCTCAAGGAATAACATCTGGAGGATCAGTCTCCCAGGGTGCACTCTGTTTCTGTTCTGTCAGAAACATTGAACAGTAATAAATCCGTTGGAGGATAACATACTTGCTCCTACCTACTGAATTTCTCTAATGCAGAGCTCAGTCCATGTGCCATTTGTAAATCTGAGACCATTTGTAAATGCTTTAAATTGAATTGGTAAATTTTTATAAAATGATGTACCTTGGGCAGAGCCGTGGGGCGAGAGGTTGTGTTGGGGCGATAAGGTAAAGTTGCAGTTGTCCCAGAGGAGCATAGCGCTGCTCTCTCATCAGAGAGAGACGACTGGTGGTGGTTTAACCTGAGGGTCACCACATCTCAGGCGAGGGGAGAGAAGTTGAGAAGGACAGCCCTTCATGGTAACCTCAGCCAGAGTGGGGATTGAACCCACTCTGTTAGCATCGTTCTGCATCACAACAATTGTCCAAGCAACTGAGCTAATGATGAACCCAATCCCCAAAGGTTATGCAAGGTGTTAGTGAGGCCTCTTCTGGAGTACTGTGTCCAGTTCTGCTTGCCTTGTCATAGGAAGGAAGAATAGAGGAAGCTGGAGAGGGTTCAGAAAAGATTTACCACAATGTTGCTGGGAATGGAGGGTTTGAGTTATAAGGATAGGCTGGGACTTTTTTTCACTGGAGTGTAGGATGTTGAGGGGTGACCTCATAGAGGTTTATAAAATCGGTGGGGTATAGATAAGGTGAATGGCAGGTGTCTTTTCCCTAGGGTGGGGGCGGTTTCAAAACTGGGGGGCATATTTTTAAGATGAGAGGAGAAAAATTAAAAAAAAAAGACATGAGGGACATTGTTTTTACACAGAGAATTGTTCGTGTGTGGAATGATTTTACAGAGGAAGTGGTGGTTGTGGCTACAGTTACAACATTTCAAAAACATTTAGGTGTATACATGAATAAGAATGGTTTGGTGGGGAGTAGCTTAGTTTGGGAATATGGTCGGCATGAACTGGTTGGATCGAAAGGTCTGTTTCTGTGCTGTGTGACTCTACGTTGCTTGTGAGGTGTTGATCCTGTTTTTGCTTTCCCCCACAGCAGCAGGGTCTGAACCCTCTGTCCAGGTACAACAGCCTCCCTCTGTCAAAGCCCAGTGTTCCTCAGACACTGGCTCCAAAACCTCCACGTCCGAGGCCGTTGCAAGCCCCAAGCACCAAACCAGTGAAGTAGCGAAGCTGGATTCCCCAGCGCCGACCTCGGAACTAAAGGGTCCTCCCAAGGAAACTGGTAAGATGGGGATGTGTGTGACTGCCCCTGCGGGGGATACTGATAGAACAGGTGGCAGGTTAGAGATGGCGTAGACACTGGGGCAAGTGCGTATTTCACCACGCAGCTACTGGAACCTGAGTTAGTGTGGAGGCAGAACGCAGCTGCTGTTTGTTTCAGTAAAATGCTGGGGAGCGGGATCTTTCTCTTCCTTGTTTCTCCTCGGGCTCTGGTTTGTAAATTTTGGGGTGAATGCAGCTTGAAGCTTTCCGCTCACCGTCCTGATCACACCCTGTCAAATACCATCCCTGGAAAGTGGCAGACGGTGGCTTCATCTGTGCTGCCACTTGAGTGTTCAGCGCAGAGGCACTTTTGACAGTGTCTCTGCTTGATATCATGTTCACCCTGAAAGGTGTACGCACTAAGGAGCAGCCTTGTGCAGCCTGCGCATTATACCCTCCCTGACCCCAGGTTACGGCTTCTACCCAGAACTGCAGGCGCTAGAAATACCATTCCCACCCACCTGGCTTCCAGAAAATAACGCTACGAACGGGGCTGGGGTGGAGAGAAATGACTGAGGTTTCTCGGCGATACCATCCATTGCCATGATGAGTTAAAAAGTTTGCAGAGAGAGTTTGCAAGTGGAAAGAAAGCACTTTGTCGATGAGTCAGTTTGTAAGTGCATGCCCCCCTGCTGGAAGGGGCTGCTGTAGAGGAGAACCCCCTCCCACCCCCACCCCCAATGCCCTGCCGTATTTGGACGGTTTGTCCCAGCTCTCGGGTGGTGACTTGATAAGCAGTGAAGAAGACCCATAAGTAATTTCTGTTTTGTTTTCCTCTTCTCAGCTCCTGTTGTGAAGCGTGTGCCACGATCCCAGAACCCAAACAGATACAGTAGGGAACCCTGTATGTTGTCTTTCTAGTGAGGCCAGCAAGGACTCACTGCTGCAGCATTCCTGTTTGTCTGCCCTGCTGCTTTCTTGTGTGTGTGTGTGTGTGTGTGTGTGTGTGTGTGTGTGTGTGTAGATACATGTGTGTGTTTGTGTGCTCGCTGATCTGCTAAAGTGCTTGTAACTGGCTGTCTACAGTGGGAATGGAAAGATTCAGCAATGCATTAGATTTCACACTTACCAAATTTAGGCAACTTCACGTCATATAAGCAGGAGATGTGATAGGAAGCTCCTGTGACATTGAGAAAGGTGGCTTTACGTAAAGTGGTATAGTTGATGTAGTGGAAGGCAGGTGATGTTTTGCAGGTTCTCAACAGTTTTGTTACAGCCACTGCTTGTTGCACGGAGTGGCGTTGCATTTGGAATCAAAGCGCTTCCTTTTCGATTGCTGATCCCCAGGCCAATGATTTACCTTCCTGTGGGTGGATAGCTTTTGCAACTTCCTTCTCACTCTTTCACTGCGCGTTGTTCATCATGGCCCTAACCTGTTGAGAGCATTAGGCCGTTCGGCCCCTCAAGCCTGCTCCATCGTCCGTTTGGCAGGTGATCATCTGCCGCAGTTCTTGACTGACCAATAGGGGCTGCTGAAGAGCAACCTGTTGAGTTGGGAGATTAGTTCTCCTTACGGTTGCCCGTGTGTGTGTGTGTGTTGATGGGAATGAGGGGAATTGTCCGGATAAGATGTGGCTTTGTCGGGTGCTGTGCAGTTTGTGTCCCTTCCCTACATTCTCAGTCTCAGTCCCACTCCCAAAGGTTGTGCCTCTTCCTTGGGCCTAGAGACAACATTTCGAAATGTTATAAACAGGGGACAGTTTGAATTTGGTGTGAAATTGTTTTTATCCTTAATGGTTGGGTTTTGTTTTCACATCTTCATTTAATGGGATGTGGGTGCCTCTGACTAGGCAGCATTTAGACCCGTCCCTAAATACCCAGAGGATAGTTAAGACTCGGCCACATTGCTGTGGGTTTGAAGTCATGTGTAGGCCAGACCAGTTTCCTTCCCTGAAGAGCACTAGTGAACCAGGTGCTTTTTTTCCTACTGTTATGTATTGAATTTTTTGAATTGATGGTGGGATTCAAACCTGCTGCCCACATCATTGCGTGGGTCTCTGCATTACTAGTTTAGTGATAGTACTGCTAGGCCATCATCTCTCTATGTGAACATAACCATCTTTAGGGACATGGCTAACAGAAGCTGACCACCTCACTGCTTCAGATGTGAGATTGTCCCTGAGGTGCTGACCCATGTGGGTTGCCATTGCCACATTCTCCTGACAGCTACACGAGTAACTGGGTGATAGGAGTAGAAACCTGTCCCTAGTTTCTTGCGCTGTTTGTCACCCCCACCCCATTTGACTCGCTCACTAATTTCCCCTCTCAACTGAGAATGATGTGCTGGGGTTTGAATCATTTTAGAACACCTGCACCCCTAATGGAAATAAGGAGCAGGAGTAGGCCATTCAGCCTATTAAGGCTGCTCTGCCACTCATTGTAGACCATTTACCTTGAAGTCATTTTCCCCCACCGTCCCTTGATCTCATTAGTCTGTAGCAATCTTCAACTTCTGTCAAAACCTGCTCAATGATTGTTTCCACAGAATCCCAAGATCCACCACTACTTGGGTGAAGAAATTCCTGCTTGTCCAGTCCCTTATTCTCAGAGGTCCATAGGGATGCTGTCCCCTGGGTTACTGGTGGTCAGTTGGGAGAGTTTTCCTGAAGCTTCTGACACCAGATTTTGCTGCTGTGTCACCAGAGGACCATAGGGCCTACTCTCTCGTTAGAGTCGGATGATTGGTGATTGAGTTTGACCTGAGGGTCACCACAGCTAAGGCATGGGGAAGGGGAAGCGGCGTCGTACAGGCCTCATGGTAATCTTGGCTGGTGCGGGAATCAAACCCACGCTGTTGGTGTTACGCTGCAGTGCAAACCAGCCATACAGCCAACTGAGCTAACTGATCCCCCAAAGGTAAAGTCTCCACTGGCCCAGGGGACCACCGGGTTGCTCTTTCAGTCAGTTCACTCAGCTGGTTTGCGATGCAGTGTGACGCCAACAGAGTGGGTTCAGTCAGGAACGTAGGAGCAAGAGTTAGGCCATTTAGCTCCTCGAGCCTGTTACATTGTTCAGTGAGATCATGACTGATGGGCCCATATCCCTCAATGTTTCTGCTTCATGAATCCTCACATTGGCTGAGGTCAGTATGGACCTTCTCAACCCTGCCTGAGGTGTGGTGACACCTGGCACTCGGACCATGACCTTCCCTGCGTGACTCTCAATTTTCAGTGACTGTCGTCAGCGCGCTCTGACGAGTGACTGGGTGGGGGAGAGGGAGGGCAGAGAGTGATGGTTAGGCCCTCCGCCGACCTGTAAGCCACTAACCTATTCTAAGCAATGTGTTCTGAGCGTCACTGCTGACCTGGGCAAGTGGGACTCCTGCCTTTCTTGACACTGACCTGTAACCCTTGACACTGACCTCTAACATCTGCCCTCGAGCTGATCCTAACTCCTCTCTGAATTGCTGGCATTGTAGTTTTTATACTGGAGGGGGGATGGGTGGGGGAAGAGGGAGTTTAAATAATCTCATGGCCGTGTGTTTTTCTTCCTGGCCCCCTCGCTTCCCACTCCTCTGTCTCTCCCCCCACCCCCTCTCACCCCGGGCAGTGACGAGCAGCACTCCGAATCCCGAAAACCACCTGCCCCCCAAGGCACTGGTCATCGAGCTGGACCACAACAAGTTCAAGTGCAAGATTCCCGAGTGCTCGAAAGCCTTCCGCAAAGCCAAGATGCTGCACTACCACATGAAGTATTACCATGGCATGGAGAAAGCCGAGCCAGATCCCAGTTCTCCCAAAAGGAGCATGCAGACACGGGGCTCCTGCGCATCGGAGGGGGAGTCCCTCCTGGACAGCCCCAAGAGACGCCGCACCACCTCGGGCTCTATACGTGAGTATCTGACTGTCACAGAGGGCTCTACATGAGTCACATCGCTCTGGCGCTCATCGGGGTATTCACAGGGCATGGGCGCCGCTGGCTCGGTCAGCATTTGTTTTCCATCCCTAATTGTCCCTTCAACCTGCCATGCCATTTCAGAGGGTAGTTAAGAGTAAACCACATTGCTGTGGATCTGGAGTCACATGTAGGCCGGACCAGGTGAGGCAGGCAGATCTCTTTCTCTAAAGGGCATTAGTGAACCGGATGGGCTATTCCAACAATCAATAACAGATTCATGATCAGCAATAGACTCTTAATTCCTGATTATTGTTGAATTCAAATCCCATCCCCTGTTATGGTGGGGTTTGAATCCAGGTCTTCAGAATATTACCAGGGTTTCCAGATTAATAGTCTAATGATAATACTACTAGGCCATCTCCTTGTCTAGGCATGAGTACCAAATTTTCAATCCATGACTACTGTTTATACCGAGGAAAAGAGTGCTGTTACTTAAAACAAAAAATTGTTCATACATGCAATTTGGGTGTTGCTGGCTAGGTAGCATTTATTGCCCATCCCTAATTACCCAAAGGGTGGTAAAAGAGTCAACCTAATTGCTGTGGGTCTGGAGTCATGTGTAGGCCAGACCGGGTAAGGATGGCAGTTACCTTCCCTAAAGGACATTAGTGAACCAGATGGGTTTTTATAGCAATAGGCAGTGGTTTTACGGGCTACTTGTTTTACAGGTAGTTCTCCTATAACGTGATAGGTACGTTCTTGTGTGACCTCACGCTATAGAAAATCACATTAGCGGGAAATCACTATACCCGTACAGCAGAAAGTTCATGTTATCCAAACAGCATCCACTATTCATCAATCGTGTAACAGCCAATTTGCGTTAACAAAACACACGTTATAGCAGAACTACCTGTGTTCCAGATTTTCAGTGAATTCAGAGTTCACCATTTGCCATGGTGAAATTAAAAATCCTGCCCCGAGAACATTAGTGTGGAGTTCTGGGTTACTAGCCAGTGATATGACCCACTACAGCATCACCACTCTTTTGATTGGCTAAGCTGTTACCTTAGGAAAAACACTGAGCTACGGTAAACTTCCCAGTCTCCTGAGAAGTTCAAAAAAGCTGCAAACCTCGACTATTATTTGTAAAATGGTCCCATCTATGTATGTAGATCACTTCTGGCGACCATGAATGAGCCACATTGAACACTTGATTGATTATCTTCAGTCAGTTGCCAATGTGGTTCCTAGCGCACTCTGGACTATTCAGCCAGTCCTGCCCCATCCTCTCTAGAAATTGCCCTGTAGACCCTCCATGAACTTCCCAGTGACTCGTGCTGCCCTTCAGTTAAAGGGGGAAGAACTCGTTACGCTGTGGGGAAGTGGGACGAACTGGATAGTTTGCCAGCACAGGCACATTGAGCTGTCTATCTTGCTGGGCCATACGTATGATTCTAACTGCTGTCGGTATAGATTCAGGTCAGATCCGGCCACTAGCCTTGACATGAGGCAGTAGTACTCCAGGGAGATGGGTAGTGATGCAGTTTCTTGCATGGCAATTTTTAGTGGTATTTAAAATTGCATGTAACCATAAGTGTGTGCCATCCTCTCTCAGAACTGCAGAAGTTTCTCTTCCACTGGAGTTTCAGTGAAAAGTAACGGTGGGTGTATGAGACTTTCACATTCTTAAAAACCATCCCGTGCTGTTTGATTACAGGTTTTGTCCTTGGGAATTTATGTGGTGTGCGTTGAGAATGTTTTGAATTGTGCAATAGCAGTGAAACGCTAGTGGTTTCTCTTTGGTGCTGGTAGTGTTGATCTGATGGAATGAATTGAAGATATCATGGATGAAGTAATTGTTTGCTGCCATACACTGTGTTCCCTCCTCCTGAAGTTCAGGTAGAGGTATTTGGGCTTTAGAAGGGCTCAGAAGTTTTAACAACAGCATCCTAGGTACCTTCAAAGGAGAATTATCAAGCCAGGACATACTGAACGTGAGGGGCAGAGCTTTTGGGATGGAGACCATTTAATGGTGACCCAATTCACGGTTTCCAATGTAATGGAAGATTTCGATGGAGGAAACAGATTCCCTTTTGGCAAATGGGTCGTTAGCTGGAGACTATTGGCTTAAAAGTCACTGGCCAAAAAAGGTGGAGATGAGGACCATTTGTCTTTCTTGGAGTTGTCAGGATCTGGAATGCTGTAACCGAGGAACTCGGAATGTTGGGTTGTGAGAGTGATCATCAGAATCAGAATCATCATCAGAATCCCTACAGCATGGAGCCAGCAGAGACATGGGCCTGAATGGCCACCTTCAGTTTCAATTTCTTCAGTGAATTAAAGTGTGGGAGAGTCTGTCTAAGCGTTAGTGTGCACATATCTAGATTGATTTAGGTGACTAGTTCGTTCCCCACTGATCTTTGAATACAGTTATAGGGTCCTTTGTGTACCCCCAAAACAACCTTAATTTCTTCCACATCTTAAACGCAGCACTCCTGACAGTGTGGTATTCCCTCAAAGCTGCCTGGAGTGTAACTGCAGGCCAGTGCTTCCCAAACCTGTTCCCAGCAGTGATCTCTCTCTGAGGCAGAGGAGTGCTGTGACACCGCTCCCCCCCCACCCCGATTCAATGAGAGCTGACTGTGGGGGGAGGGCTGTGAGGGGAGGAGGAGACGTGGTGGTTGTGGCTGTGAGGATGGGGCTGGTTAGAGGGAGAGCACTCTGTCGTTATAACTTGGTCCAAGTTTGACAGTGGCCTCGGAGCTCCCCATGCCTACCCGGAGACCTGAATACACCCCATCCCCCCCCAAAAAAAACTTTGGGAAACCCTGGTGTAGATGACAGTGTTTGACCCAGTGAGTTTTTGTGCTGCATTACAAGATTTGAGCTAATGATCTGCCACAGGTTGCTGGGTTATTACAGAACTTTATCAACCGATCCCTGTGTGCGCTGAACACTTGTGATGCTACTCCCTGGTCTTGCATGCACCAGCTGTTTCCTCATGAGCGCTGATCCTTTTTTTTTGTGTGGTTCTCCTGCAGAATGGTCCCAGCAAGCGTCTCACAGGGCCTTGCAGTCCTCCAGCGCTGAGCTCAGAGCTCCAAGGCTCAATGAGAAACGGCGGATGTCGACGCTGTCCTCTCTAGACATTGCTGCACAGTCCAGGCTCTCCCTCCGTGACAAGAGCAAGGATAATCAGACAGAGAGGTCGCATCAGAAGCTGCAAGACCGGGAAAAGGGTTGCGCTGAAAGCGGTGAGTGTCTGCAGAACGTATCCTTCCTGCATCTGACCTGTCAGTTTGAAGGTTTGAATGAGACAGAAAAGAAAATAGGAACCATTCGGCCCTTCGAGCCTGTTCTATCTTTTCAGTGTAATCATGACTGATCATCCAACTCAGACTCCTGTTCCTGTGTTCCCCCTGTCCCATTTTATCCCTTCACTCTTAAGAACTGTACCCATCTCTTCCTTGAAAACATTCAATGTTTTGGCCTAAAACATTCAGTGTTTTTGCCTCGAACGTTTTCCGTGGCAGAGAATTCCACAGGCTCAGCACACTCTGGTTGAAGAAATTTCTTCTCATCTCAGTCCTCCAATGGCCTTACAACTTATGCTTAAAATGTGACCTCTGGTTCTGGGAACATCCTTGCTGCAATTACCCTATCCAGTCCTGTTAGAATTTTATAGGTTTCTATGAGATTCCCCCTGCCATTCTCCTAAACTCCAGTGAATGTCATCCTAACTGATCCAGTTTCTCTCATGAGTCAGTCCTGCCATCCCAGAAATCGGATAATGCCTTGTTCTTCTAAAGGCCAACTCTATTCAAGCTTTCCTCGTCAGACAATCCCACCAAAATTAGTTTGGTGGACCTTCATTGTAATCCCTCTGTGGCCAGTATGTTTTACTGTAGGTACGGTGACCAAACTTAGCATTGTAGAATCCCTGCAGTGTGGGAACAGGCCATTCAGCCCATTGAGCCCACACACACTGAGCCACAGAGGAGCATCCCACCTAGACCCGCCCTATCGCTGTGGCTAACCCACCCTAAGCCTACACATCCCTGGACACCATGGGCAGTTTAGCATGGCCAGTCCACCTAACCTGCACATCTTTGGGAGGAACCGGAGCAAACCCACACAGACACCGGGAGAATGTGCAAACTCCAGACAGACAGTCGCCCAAGGGTGGAATCCAACCCGGGTCCCTGGTGCTGCGAGGCAGCAGTGCTCACCACTGTGCCACTGTATTGCCTTGGATCTAATACTGCAGTTGTGGTCCTGCAGGTTAGGTGTATGCACAGGTGTGCTGTGCAACACCCTGCAGATTGTGTACAGGCTGCATGGCTGACAGACAGCCGTGTGTGTGTGCGTGTGCACACGCGTGTGTGTGTGTTTTTAATAGCACCATGTTTTTATTGAAAGCGCACGTGCCATACATGCAGCACCTACAAGAGTGACCAAAGCCGTTTCCTCTCTCAGTCTGAAATAATTGAACTGTCCCCTTGAGCAGGGTCAAGAGAGAGGAGCAAGGAGAAGAAGCTTCGCGATTTCCTGAAGGTCAAGCTGAAGAAAAAGAAGAAAAAGAAAAAGAAGTCAAAATCTGGTGAGCTGTTTCTACCCATCTTGTACAAAGTGTTTGTGACTGTAAAACAGCGCATCAGGAAGTAACCGCACAGCTCTCGGAATCTTGATGCTTTTCCTGTTTGCCAAAGCTGAATCATTCAAAGCAGCAAGCAGCTCGGTTTGGCCCCCAGGAACAGGGAGAAGCCATTTGGCCCCCTCATTGTGCTACCATTCAATATAATTTTGGCCAATTTATCACCTGTCTCTTTCTCCATCCATCTCTGTCCCGTATCTCTTGTGTCAGCAGTGAACAGAAATTTATCCATGGCAGACTGAAGGTTGTTGATTGATCCTCGATCGATTTGCCATTTACTACCTCAGCTCACTGATCCCTGAGGGATTGGCCACTGGGTAAGATACTGGAGGAAGGGCTGGCAATGGTTTCAGAAGGTTAGCACCCTCATGAGAGCAGTGGCTAAAATTGCTGTTATTATTTAGTGCCTGGGGCAGTGAAGAGACAATTGGTGAGCTGGGTGAATGGGCTAAAAAGTTTATTTTATTCGCTCGTGGGACGTGGACGTTGCTGGCTGGCCAGCAATTGTTGCCCATCCCTAGTTGCCCCTTGAAAAGGTTGTGGTGAGCTGCCTTCTTGAACTGCTGCAGTCCTCCTCCTGTGGGTTCACTCACAATGTCCTTAGGGAGGGAATTCCAGGATTTTAACCCAGCCACCCTGAAGGAACGATGGTATATTTCCAAGTCAGGATGGGGAGTGGCTTCGAGGGGACCTTACAAAGAGTGTGTTCCCATGTATCTGCTGCCTTTGCCCTTCTGGATTGATGTGGTCGTGGGTTTGGAAGGTGACACAGTGTGGAGCTGGAGGAACACAGAGGCCAGGCAGCATGAGAGGAGCAGAAAAGCTGACGCTTCGGATCAGGACCCTTTTTTTTTTCTGAAGAAGGGTCCAGACCTGAAACGTCAACTCTCCTGCTCCGCTGATGCTGCCTGGCCTGCCGTGTTCGTCCAGCTCCACACTGTGTTATCTCTGACTCCAGCATTGGCAGTTCTTACTGTCTCTGAGTGGGTTTGGAACGAGTTGTCTGAGGATCTTGGCCGAAATCTAAGTGTCAGAAATCTTTGAATGAGATGATGCATTTTGCTTCGTATAAAAGGAAGAGCGCTGAGTGATTTGTTAATGGAAGGAGGTTCAGTTGTGTGAAAACAGTAGAGGAATTGGATGGAGCAAAGGCGCAAATAAGGTTGATGTGATGTTGCTGCAATATCGCATCAACTCACATTATCAAGGCTTTTAAAACTGATTTGTCATTTCTAGACCTCAAAACAAATTATCTAGAATGTAGAAGCCTTTTAAGACTTCAAAGCACTGCGCAGTAGGATGGAGTGGAGACGATTTAATGCTGACATCACAGTCACTCAGTTACTGATGGAATGGGGCAGTGAAAATTTTAAAAATGATGTTTAATTGATGTGCTAATGAGAACAGATTATAGAATTATATGGTGAAGTATTTAAAATGTTGACTGGGTCAGTAGAAGCTGATTATGTTTCCAAGAATCAAAGAGCCACAGAATGAAACTAAAGGATAAACGCACACCGTGCTGGAGAAACTCAGCAGCACTGGAAATGGAGCTAACGTTTCAGGTCCTGCATGACTCTTCCTCAGACCTTCTTTGTTGTGAAGGAGAGTCATTTCAGAATCGAAATGTTAACTCTTCCTTTCCGCAGAAGCTGCCAGTCCCACTGAGTTTCCGCAGCTCTTTCTGCTTTTATTTTAGATTTCCAGCATTTGCGGCATTTTGCTTTTTATCCGAAATCCAAGAGGCCTGGACAGACCTCTTCAGCTGAGAGAGTTGTGAGGTTGTGGGATGCACGTTCCATGGCTGAGGCGGGAAATAAGGGAAATGTTCAGGCTTTTGACGTCTTGTGGCGCAGTGGTAGTGTCCCTTTCTCTGAGCCAGAAGGTCCAGCTTCAAGTCCCACTTCGGGAGGTGATGGCCACTGAGGCTTATCCTGTCGTGTCCCAAACAGGTAAATAATGGTTGTTTTGTTCTTTTAAGATATGGATGGTGGAAGGAACATGGGAAGAGGGTGTGTCAGTGTGAGGAAGACAGATGAAGGCTTACAGTGTTAGCCTTCATTGTGAGAGGATTTGAGTTATCTGAAGAAGGATATTCTTGCTTTAAGACGGAGTGCAGTGAAGGGTTATCACATTGTTTCCTTGGATGGCGGGACTAACTTATAAAGAGAGATTGGATCTGTCAAGACTATGTTCACTGGAGCTTAGAAGAAGGTTGGAAGACTCTCAGAGAAACCTATAAAATTCTAAAAGGATTAGACAGGGTCAGTGCAGGAAGTGCAAGAACCAAGGGTCACAGTTTAAGGATAGGTGGTTGGCCAATTAAGACTGAGATGAGGAGAAATGTCTTCATCCAGGGAGTGTGAGCCTCTGAAATTCTCTGGCACCAAAAGTGGTTGAAGCCAGAACATTTAAAGCTTTTCAAGAAGGCGTTAGATATTGTTGTCAGGTCTAAAAGCATCAAAGGGCAAGACAGAGAAAGCAGGAGCATGATATTGAGTTGGATGATCAGCCATGATTATGTTGAATGGTGGGGCAGGTTCAGAGGGCTGAATGGCTCCTGTTTTCTGTGTTTCTGTGTTTAAAACTGTTTGCCCGCATGGAGAGTAAATGTTGACCCAGGCTGAAAGTAACTTTGCATTTCTGTCCGTCGTTCAATCCTTTATGATCAGTTTTTCATGATAGGGATTTTTAAAGATAGCTACCACTTCAGTGTCCTGTTAGGCTTTGATATGAATTAGCATTTCTGTGTAGTTCCATGACTCTGACAGCAGGTAGCGCCAGTATGCATTTTGTAGAGGTCCAGCGTTGTACTCCGTGTGCAGAAAATGATCCCCTTCCTTATCTGTCCGTGCCCTGTCTCTGCTTTCTCATTAATACCTCCTTCACCAGCTATGCCTGGTCATGCCAGCCTCAAGGGGGAGCTGATGGCCTAAGTTTTTCAATAGCCCAGCAACCCTGGCTACTTCTCTGGCAGCTCAGTCTCCAATCCCACCACGGCAGCTGGTGGAATTTAAATTCCGTTCAAAAACACAAAACTTAAAGCTGGTTTCCGTGGTGGTGAAACTGTCCCCACCAGCTCCATGACACTCGGCACCTTTCTCTGCAACCGCAGGAGGTCCTACACCTGCCCCCTCACCTCTGACCAAGGCACCAAACAATCTTTCCAAATCCAACAGGGATTCACCTGTACATCCTCTAACCTGGTCCACTGCATCCGTCGCTCTCGATGTGGCCTCCTCTACATCAGTGAGACCAAGCCCAGACTCGGCGACTCCCAGATCATCTACGCTCTGTACACTATAATCAACAAAACCTTCCAGTTGCCAACTATTTTAACTCCCCCTCCCACTCCCTGGGTGACATGTTCATCCTGGGCCTCCTCCAGTGTCACAACGACGCCACACACAAACTGGAGGAGCAACACCTCATATTCCACCTCGGGAGCCTACAGCCCGATGGCCTGAACATAGAATTCACCAGCTTTAAAATCTCCCCACCCTGGCATCATCCCAAGTCTGACCTCCCTCTCACCCCTGCCTCCTATCCGCCCCACCCTTCCCCTGATCAGTCTCCACTACCCCTCCTGCATCCACCCACTTACCTTCCCCCAACCCCACACACCCACCCCCATTTATTTTCAAACCTGCTTTTCCCTCCCCAGTCCTGACGAAGGGTGTAAACCCGAAACGTCAACTTTCCTGCTCTTCCAATGCTGCCTGACCTGCTGTCTTTCTCCAGCTCCACGCTGTGTTGACTGTGACTCCAGTTCTTGCTATCTCTTAATCTGCCGTTGTTACCTGGTTTACACGTAACTCCAGTCTCACGGCAACGTGGTTGACTCTTAGCTGCCCCCCTGAAGTGGTCTAGCAGGCCACTCAGTTCAAGGGCGGTTCAGGATGAGCCTTGCCTCATTGACACCCACATCCCAAGAAAGAGTGAATTAATTTTTTAAAAATATTCCCATTTCTATTCCTGTACAGTTCTCCCTCAAATATTGCAATTCATTTCCCAATGATGATGGAGTTGCTACCAAAATAAAGGGTAAGTAAACCCTTTAGGATTGAGATGAGGTGAAATTGCGTCACTCAGAGTGTGAACCTGTGGAATTCTCTACCACAGAAAATGTTTAAGACCAAAATATTGTGTTTTCGAGAAGGAGGTAGATATAGCCCTTATGGGTAAAGGGATATTGGGGGAGGGGAGGATTAGGATATTGAGGTCGATGATCAGCTGTCGTCATATTGAATGGTGGAGCAGGCTTGAGGGGCCTAATGGCCTACTCCAGACTCTATCTTCTGGCATTGGAGGTCATGAGCCATCCTTTTCCACCTTGAGATGGGGGAGATGAGCTGTTACTCTCTCTGCTGGCCATGACAGTTGTTTCTTCCAAGACAGCATGCAGTTAGCGCGTGAGGAGGGTTGACTGTGGGTTTTAGATGCTGGCCCTGAGTGACGAGCATTGCCTCTCTTCAGGGGAAACACTAGGCAGAAGGCAACTGACAGAATACTGTGACATATTGCTCAGGTCAAAGCAAAGGGGTCCGAGTTAAACTTGCCCATCTCCTTTCGGTTGGAGACGGGTCAACTGTGTAGATTGGTCATCCAGTCTCACATCCATTTAAATTAAACAATGTGATGTGGGAGTGTCGGGGATGGTGTTGGTGGAAAATAGGAGAAGTGTGAATCCAATTAAAACAACAGCTTCCGTCAGTATCGTTACAGCGTTAATGACGAGCTGTGGGTGTCGGATTTCCCCCGTCTGAGGTGGACTGCTCCACACGGGAATCTGTGTACGCCTTTGTTTCTGGCAACATGGCTGACAGTGGAAAATCGGCTCTGGGGCCTCTGCAGCTGGCGGGGCAGGAGGACATGAGAGCTCACCCCCTCCCACCTTCCCTCAGCATCCACCAAGTGCCCAGCCTCTGGTCAGTGTCTGCACTCAGACAGAGCTATTCCAGTCTCTGCTTTCCACCCACGGGTTAAAGTGTGCCACCCTTGCCCTTCCCTGGGGGTGCTAAGTGTCGATGTGACCTGTTTTAACCATTCAGCATTGGAAGAGGCGAGGACCTAGTGGTGGTATCACTGGACTCTGTATCTAGAGACTTGGGTAATGTTTTGGTGATCTGGGTTTGAATGCCACCGTGATAGATGGTGCAACTTGAATTCAGTAGAAATCTGGACTTTTAAGAGTCTAATGATGACCATGAAACCATTGTTAATTCTCAGCAAAACCCATCTGGGTCACTAATGTCCTTTAGGGAAGGAAATTGCCATCCTTACCTAGTCTGGCCTACATGTGACTCCATACCCGCAACAATGTGGTTGATTCTTAACTGCCATCTGGGACGGGCAATAAATGCTGCCCTGGGAAAATGCCCCCCTCACACCACTGCCTCCATTATCTCCTTGCCTCTCTTTTGTGCTTCACTTCAGCCCAGTTTTTGCAGTGTTATTGGGCATATTGTGCTAACCTCTTTGAATTCTTTTGATTGCAGAGTTTTCTGGCAGTGAAGAGAATGTAGATGTCTCTAGAGATTTCCCACCGAAAAGATCCACGTTCCCTTCAACCAGATCTTCCTCCTCTTACAAATATCCCTTCTCTCATAAATACACGTCGTTACGCAGTTCTGACTCTGGATACTACATGGAAGGACTGAAATTTGACGGTTGGTGACCTGATTTTTATTTTCTCTCTCTCTTTTTCCACATTTTCTCCAAAATAGTGTAATGCTGATGCCCCAATTGTATTAAACAATGCTGGGGTAGAAAGAGTGAGCATTTGTGGGGGAGGTGGTGGTGTAGTGACTGTGTCGCTCGACATGTAATCCAGAGATCTTCCAGGTGAATCCCCAAGGAACAGGGTTCAAATCCCATTGCGGCTGGTGGAATTTAAATTCCGTTAATAACATTCAATTAGTAAAATCTGAAACTGCGCATTAGTCCTGGTAATGGTGCCTGTGAACCACTGATTAATTGTTGTTAAAACAAACCCATCTGGGTTCACTAATGTCCTATAGGGGAAGGAAATCTGCCACCTTTTACATGTTCTGGCCTACGTGTACCTCACAGCAATGTGGTTGACACATAATGGCCCTCTCAAATGGCCCAGCTCAGGGATAATTAAGGGTAGGTGACAATAGCCCATATCCCACGAAAGAGTAAATTTGTGTAGCAAAGTGTTACGCAGTCCATGAGATTTTCTCGAAGTGCATTCACAGTTAAAAGGGCAGACTGAAGCTGACTTGATGGAAATACTTTCCAATTGTCAGAAGTTCAATGGGGCAAACATGGAGGAAAATATAAACCAAATGAACTGCAGATGCTGCAAGTCAGGAACAGAAACAAAGTTGCTGGAAAAGCTCAGCAGGTCTGGCAGCATCTGTGAAGGAGAAAACAGAGTTAACATTTCGGGTCCGGTGACCCTTCCTCAGAACGGAGTTTTTGGAGGAAAATATGCCTTTTTGTAGGGGAGGTTCAAGCCGTAAATGTAGGATAATTAATAAAGCTAATATGAAATTAGAAGAAATATCTTGATGCAGTGAATGGTTAGAGAGTGGGTTCGCTATCACGGGAGTAGTTGAGAAGATGCTTTTATGGGATGCCATGAGGGAGAATGGAACAGCATGTTGTGCTAGTGAGGTTTGCTGATGGTTGATTAAAAGGGGAATCAAGTGGGGCATATTGCTGGCATAGGGTGGTATTCAGTGTAATGTAGAGAGATAGTCAGCTGTGTGTGTTATTGTGGGGCTGGATTCGAGGAATCAATGAACATGCATGGGTGATTAAACTTAGTCATCTTGACATTTATATATGTACCATAATGGAAGTTTGATGTAGCCTGCAGTTTCAGACTAATGTCCGATTTGCCAGTTATGGAGGAGTAATTTTGTAACCACCTACCAGGAGGTTTCAGTCTGACTTAGAGAGTGGTTAGGGCCCAGCAGGTGCAAGCCCTATTGTGTTGTACAGGTTTCTTAAAAACTGCCCCGTATCATCTGGGACTGCTGCTGTATACCTCACTGCTGCAGAGATTGCAGGTGGAAAGAACAGCTCCTGCATAACCAGCAGTGTCTGCACTTTCTAACAAGCTGCTGAGCTCGGCTGGGAATCCCAGCTCGGTTAGTTCGCAACACCGACACGAGGCAGAGGTTGTGGTGTGTGTGTGACAGCCTCGATCAGTTTTCCCTATTCACCTTTCGTGTTGCGTTTATAAATTTTATGGGGGGGTAGCGGGTGGGGGTAGGAGGGCGTGATGTTTGCAAGACTCTTGTGTTGCAGTGGTAACCTCTAGGCCAGAAGATTCGAGTTCGAATCTCGTCTCAGCATGGGATAATGATAGAGGTGCCAGGTTAATTTTTGCTTCCCTCTTGCACCTTTTCATCTCAACCGCAGGCTGTTCCAGAGTTTTGCAGCAAACAAAATACTTCTTTAAGGAAAACCTTCTAAACCACACGCCTGCAATGAAGTAAATTATTGATTTTAAACCAGCCCTCTCATTGCTGTGTTTTTGTGGTTCAACAGCACCTTTTTGGTGTTCTAAAACATGGGAGCAGCAGCAATCAGGTAGATGAATTATTTGTCTGGCGTTTGGGGCAAGCAGTTGGAAATAGAGTAAGTGTTGCTTGAGGCCAACTTAAATATCACTGAACTTCAGAATCCAGGGAGAACGAAATCTGTGGAATATTTGCAAATCATAAACAGCATCTTCAGGTCCAAGTCCAGTCTGGATCAATAAATAAGCACCCAGTTTTTTAAACCCTGGAATGTACCTGGAATAGTTAAGAATTGGAAGAGAACTTGGTTTGGGGGTGGGTGATGGAGAGAAGGTGATGGGAATGTGGCCACTGTCAGAAGCAATGGGAGTTATTCAGCAAAACTTGACTGTTTCTCTCAAGAGTGAACGACCTCTAGCAGTCCCGCTACTTAGTCACCAATGGCTCACAGGTATGTGAAGTTAGTGGAGAAACATGAGCTGAAATGCTCCACAGATACTGGCGCGTGATGGCCAAATGGTTGCGTTTTTTAAATTCATTCATGGGATGAGGGCATCGCTGGCTTGGTCAGCAGATATTGCCCATCCCTAATTGTCCAGAGGGCAGTTAAGAGTCAGCCACATTGCTGTGGGTCTGGAGTCACATGTAGGCCAGACCAGGTAAGGATGGCAGTTTCCTTCCTTGAAGGACATGAGTGAAACAGATGGATTTTTCTGACAATTGACAATAGATTCACAGTCATCACTAGATTCTTAATTCCAGATATTTATTGAATTCAAATTCCACCATCTACCATGGTGGGATTCAAACCCAGGTCTCCAGAATGTTACCTGGGTCTCTGGATTAACAGTCCAGCGATAATACCAGAAGATTCTGAAAGAGGAGTGGGAGGTGAAGGAGCATGGAGGGGTTTGTGAGGCAGGAGGTGTTCCAGAGAGTGTGGTGGGGTTGGAGGAAGAAGAAGAAGAAGAGGAGGTGGAGGAGAAGTTCCAGAGAGTGGGAGCCAACGGGGGAGGATGGGAAGGAAGAGAAATTCCAGACAGTGGGAGTTGGGAAGACAAGCAGACTGTAAAAGGGGAGGCAAGAGTGCAGAGGAAGTTGTACAGATGAAGAAATTGCATTCACCCGGTGATATTATGTGTGAATGCACAAGAGTTGAACTAAGATATGCGAGTCCTGTAACACTACAACAGAGCAAAGTGTCTGTTTAGAGACTATACGCATGCACAGAGGGGTCTTTTTTTCTCGATTCCCACTTTACGTACCAGTGTTTTGCTTCCACGTTTTTGCAAAAGGCTTGCAAACCACTTGCGGTCACCGATGTGGAGCCCGCTCTCTCTCACGCACCATGCATTTTTCACCATTGCGAACGAACTGGGTGCTTTCCCTGATGTTTGTGACCGTGAGCGCGTGTGACCGCTCGGTCTGACAGCCGTACTCGTGTGTCAGACATTTCAGATGACGACCCGACAAGCGACTCTTCGACCGACAGCCTGCTGTGGAGCGAAGACGAGTACAATCAGGACGTGGATGTGACGACTAACCCCGACGAGACCGGCGACAGGGACGACAGCCAATCAGAAATTGTACGCTGTGTCTGTGAGGTGGAGGAAGAGAATGAGTTCATGATTCAGGTATTGGTAAAATATTAGAAGACAAGTGAACCCAATCATAAAAAATTACAACTATAATAATTCAGGGCACCAGAGGACATACAATTTTAACAAATTTCTTTAAACAAAAAGTACAGGAAGGTGAATGAGAGAGGTTTTGTTTGCTGGGGTGATTTGTTTCAATCTAGAATCCACAGCCTGAAAGACCATAAGAAGTGGGAACAGGAGTAGGCCATTTGGTCCCTTCGGACCTGGTCCGCCATTCACTCGGATCCTGGCTGATCCGACATTCCCCACGTCCACTTTCCTGTCCTTTCCCCATAACCCTTGATTGCCCGAATGCCCAAGAGTCTATCTGTCTCAGGAGGGAAATTTAAACTGATAATACGAACAGAAAACGATACTGAAGGTTAAGTACTCAATAGATTGAAATTTGTAGATCTTTGGGGAAAAGAGCTGGGAGCAGGGACTAATTGGATAACTCTCACAAAGACCAGCACATTTCTGATGGGCTGAATGGATGACTTTGCTGTATAATATTCAGTACACTCAAAAGTGTCAAACTGGATAGACTTCATAGAGTTTATTTTATGTTTGTTACATTGAGCACTGCCAAATCCCACATTAATGCTCTATCCCTTTGTGGTATAAGAGCACATGTCCTGAGTTCCTCCCAGAGTCACTGATCTATTCTCCTCTTTGGCAGTGTGAGGATTGCTTGTGCTGGCAACATGGAGTCTGCATGGGCCTACTGGAGGACAGTGTGCCCGAAACCTATACTTGTTACATCTGCCGTGACCCACCAGGTGAGTACTGGCCGGAAAAGAACGTGAAAACAGTATGCCTTATGTAACAGTGGTGCCTTTAGTTTACTGGGGATGGCATTCAGTAAAGTGTGATAATCTTACTGCATTCTCATAATCCCGAGGCTCACGGTGGTGATCTGAAGACATTTTTATTTCAGATCCCACTGTGATGCCCACATCCCATGAATGAAATTCTTAAAAAGCCATAAGTCAACAATAATGTTACAGAGAAAGTAGGAACTGCCAATGCTGGAGAATCTGAGATAACAAGGTATAGAGCTGGATGAACACAGCAGGCCAAGCAGCATCAGAGGAGCAGGAAAGCTGACGTTTCAGGTCG